GGGGAAGGGAAGGGAAGGGGAAGGGGGAGGGGGAGGGAGGAGAGAATGCAAGAGAGGAGGGGCGAGGGAAAGGGATTTGGTTGGGGGAGGTGGTAGGGTGAAGAGGAGGGGAAGGAGGTGGAAGGGAGAGGGGGGAAGGAGAAGGAGTAGGAGGCGAGGGAGGGAGGGAGGGAGGCAGGGATCAGAAGTGGGGAGGGGGGGAGAGGGAGGAGGCAACGTGAAGCTCTGATTGGCTGTTTCCTGGTGTGTTTATTGGCTAATGTCAGGTGAATCTTTCAGTAGACAAGGTCATGGCATAGTCATTGAATCGACTTCTGGCTTGATGCTTCGTTTCTACCCCTTCCACAGTCCCCCCTCCCCTTCCTCCCTTCTGCATTCCCCCCCCCCTCCACCCCCTAGAGAGATGTTCGTTCAGCTTGCGCATAACATGTCCCCAGCACCCCCTCCTCCCCCTCCCCTCCTCTGCTCCATGCACGGTTGGGGAAAAGGAGAGATGGGGGGATGGGGAGGAGAGGAAGTGCCTGGGATTGGGGGAAGGGTGAGTGTCAGGGATGGGAGGGGGGGGGGAGGAAAGTGCCAGGTTTAGGAGGAGCGAATTGCCAGGGATGAGGGAGGAGAGTGCCATGGATGAGGGAGGGGGGGGGAGGGAGGACGAAAAAGGGGGGAAACGAATGTATGCAAAAGCGCTGTTGAAGCAGTGTGTGCAACCACGGACGTAAAGAAAGAGCGATTTATTTTTTCATTTGCATTTTTTTGAAATCACCGATTCAGGCACGGAACTGTTCTTAAAGATTTCATTTTAAATACAGTCATTTCTAAAAACGATTTCCTCTCTGATTATCTTAAATATGATTCTATGCTTTTCTGTTTTAAAAGATAATCAATTAAATTTATTAATTGTATAAATATTGTATTATAAGTAAAATGAAAAAATAAATAAATTTACAAAGCATAGTCTAACAATATGATAAGATAAATAAATAAAGAATTTTAACTCTATAATAAATCATTTATTATAATTCAAATAATTATCAGTATAAACAAAATGATCAGAACTGAATAAATAAATATATATGAAGACCAGGCAATAGGAATAATAAATAAATGAAATGAGAGACAGAAAAAAAAAAAAACTAGAAAAGGAAATCAAAAGAGCTAGAAAAGGTAATAAGAAAATATAGAATAAAAAGGATGGACGATAATAAAAGAAAGAGAAAAGGATTAGAAAATAAAACAAATGCAAGAAAAGGAATACACAATAACAATAATAATATTCTTATAATTGATAATAGAAAAGCATCAGCAGAAGAGAAAATAGATATAGAAAAGAAACAAAGAAAACTGAAGAGAGATAGAGAGAGAAGACGATAAGACAAAAAAAAAAAAAATGAAAGAAAAACCAAGAAATAGGACGAAAGACATTAGATGAAAATAATGAAAATGAAACAAAAATAAACTTAGAAACGACAAGCAACAAGAATAAGAAAAAGATGGCTAAAAATCATTTTAAGAATAAGACAGAATAGCAGATCCAGTACCATTAAGATAAGAATAAAGAAATAAGCGAATAGAATAAAAGATGAATAAATAGATAAAGATAAAAGACAAATAAACAGATAAGAAGAAAATAGACAGTAAAAAGATAAGATCAAATAGAATAAGAAATAAGGAAATAAAATCACATAAAAGAAGGCACAGAAAACTTGAAGATAAACGGTAATAGGCCGAGAAAGATGATAATTTTGAGATAATTTTCTAATGTTCTTAACGACGATGATGTAGGGGTAAGGGAGGGGGGAGGGGATTTGGGTGTATGGAGGGGGTGTATGGAGGGAGTGGGGAGGAGGAGTGTGAGTGAGTGTGTGTGTGTGTGTGTGTGTGTGTGTGTGTGTGTGTGTGTGTGTGTGTGTGTGTGTGTGTGTGTGTGTGTGTGTGTGTGTGTGTGTGTGTGTGTGTGTGTGTGCGTGTGCGTGTGCGTGTGCGTGTGCGTGTGCGTGTGCGTGTGCGTGTGCGTGTGCGTGTGCGTGTGCGTGTACGTGTACGTGTACGTGTCCGTGTCCGTGTGCGTGTGCGTGTACGTGATCGTGTGAGTGATATCATTAAACCGGAATTTAAAACGAAGAACATACACCATCACGCACCAAACAATAAAACAACGAATATTGAAAATAGAATGAATGAAACAAAAGACAAACGAACGGATAAAATTCGACAGTCACTTGTTTTCTTTCCGACGCGATAAAGGTAAGTAAATAAATACATAAATAAATAAAATGGCTGGAATTTCACGATCGGCTGATATATATCACCGTTTTTTTTTATTATTTCTTACTTGATGAAGTTTATAATAAGAAATAAGTGTAGTGAATAAATTGATGTATATTAAAATAATAATGCCAATGGACAAAATTTGAATAAGTGACGTGTAAATTGAAGGTAATAATTATTATAAATCAATTATGGTGATAATAACAGTCATAATTATAATTGAGAAATTGTGTGTGTAATCCCGCAGAGAAAATACGGATTACATATTATTCTTAAATTAAT